TATAGAAATAAGCGGTTATGGATAGGTATGAAAGGTTAGAAATATAGATAGATTAAATAGATGTTTGAGCATGGATGGTGGATGAGCGGATTCGTATTTGATCGAGCGCAATAGGAAACGGATGTATCAAAGCATGTTTTCAAGCAATCAAAGAAAAAGATTTGGACGAAAACTTCTTGATACGAAACTTTAAAGAGTTTCGATTTGGTTTCAAAAATCAGAACTCTTTTGGATTTCATATGGTACCTTGGTTTTTAGTGCAGACAGCCCAACTTGTTAGTGTTTACAAGAGACAGAGTGCAAACTACATGAACTATTTTATATTGGACTAGACAATTCTCCTGGTTTTTTTCTGATGTGAAAATCTAGAAATATGTTAGAAACAAGAACTTGCTAATAATTTCGTATTTACTTGATGTATTGATACCTATAGAGAAGCTAAAAAAACTAATAACATTATGTTTGGTTTACTTTGTGAAAAATATTCCAGAAAGATTTCAACAAAATGCTATAGGCACGTGACCTTTCAAGGGCTTTGACCATTAGAGCATTTATTTATAGAGATCAACTATAACGATCTATTTACTATGTGTACAACTAAAATAGTTGTGATCAAGTTTTCACATACAATGATCCAGAAAAACAATTTATTTACTCTACTTGCAGTTAAAACGATTCTGGTCAATTTTTCAGGTCAATTTTTAAGTTTTCGGTAATAAGATTTAAAAAGTCATAAACAAAATTTAAGAAAGTCCTAAACATCACTATTTCATTTTTAATATGAATCAAATGAATGCTTCAGAGATGATCAAGTCATGTCCGGAAAGACATATATATGTATGGATAGATGTATAATGCGCTGTATTTCTTGTTAGAATTCAAATAAATAAAATAAAATAATAAATGTCTCTAGAGGATAGAAGAAATGTTTCTTTTATTTTGATTCGTAGATTCAAAAAAATAGATAAATCATCTCATCAAAATAATCGCAATGTGTTTGAAAATGTTCAAGATGAACTATTTAAATTTGAATATTAAACTACAACAAAATGATATTGAGTTATTTTTAGCCCATTTTAATTTTTATTTGAATAAGGCAATTAATGCTTTGAAAAAATAAAACAGTAAAAGAAATTCGTTGTGAGTGAAAATCATCAGCAAGAAAAAAACAAGTACTGCAATAGTCAAGAACATCTATATCAAAAAAACTTTTCAATGTTATCGAATTAAGCCAGATTAATTTAAATGATACAACAACTTCAGGAAAAATTCCACATGAAGAAAAAAAACCGTCTTGGATTGTTTATGATGACGTTACACAAAATATTGCAACTTATGAACAATCAATAAAAACATACGAATCGAGGGTAAAAATACGTAATAACAATGCTTTGCTTGATTATTATATTGCATTAACAACCAAGTAGCTTGAATAAATTACATTATTATTGTAGATTTATAAGGAAAAAACAATGGGTTCGAGGTTAGCTGAAGAAATAAAAAAATTATCTTTGAAAATTGATTATTTTCTAAAGCAAAACAAAGATGGTCTTAAAAGTCCATTAAATTGTTGTTATCCAAGGTTCAAGAAAATGACGTCGTACACGGTCTTAAACGCCGTACTAACGGTGCAAAAAGTCGAGAAAGAGTGCCGTAATCCGCCGTATCAGATTATAGATGCAAAGCCAAGGAGAAAAGACGATCATTTTCTGGTGAAAAAAACGGTTCGTAAAACGGTATGACGAATTACGGTGAAATAAGGTGTAAATCAATGTAGTAAGTCGTCGTTTCCGACGGTCAGAATGGTCGAACTAGCTAGAATACAAATTCAACCAGAACTAAAGAAAAACAAGATGATTTTAAAAATAAACTAATTACATGTTATAAATGTGATTCATCAAATATGAAAAAAATTAAATATATGATCCTAAACAAATATTTTGGTCATGGTCTTGTTCGTGTATCACATATATGGACAGCAGTTACAAAAGGTGCAGCATTAACAGAATTTAAATTATACGAATATGATGTTAATAATGAATGAAATGGCTTATTATTATATGAATCTATAGAAAAAGCATTTGATTACAGAAAACTATGCTTTCTGTGTAATCTATTTTCTGGTGCTCTACATGTTATGATCCTATGCAAAGATCTTAGAAAAATATTTATAGTGGACGATACAATAAGAATGAAGATTAATGGTTTCAGAACATTCAACGATATTGACAACATTGTTTTGAATTTACCTCATTATGTTTTTCCATATAGACGGTTATTAAATTGGCATGGTCGGTGTGCACATAAAACGGCAAAAACAAACAAATTGATAAATGAAAATAGGCATTTAGAAGATTTCTTTCATGTGTCAGATTTGATATCATTATGTGGTGATGATATTAACCCTTTGGCTACGGGAGTATCATATGTGATACCTGATTGTTAACAGTAATGTACGTCCAGCTAACTACAGAAAGTCTGTTGTTTTTCTTTGGTTTTTTGTTGTTGTCGGTTTCTTCTGTTATACTGTCCCTTCTCCTTCTCGCGATACACATATAAACATAATAAGTATGTGTTTTAACATCGGAAGCATTTTTTGTAAAATTGTTCTGAAAAATGAATCCCGTAGCCAAAGGGTTAATGAATAAAAAAAATAAAAATTTTTTTTTGTAAATTTTCTCCATGTTTTTTATGATATTAAAATAAAAAATAAAACACCTTAACGAATATCTATGGATTATTCAAATAAATACTTACGCTTTAAAAACAAAAACTGGGTAATATCACAATAAAGTCTATTCCATTCCTAAAAATCAAATTCGAGACAGTTTGCATGAAAAGATCCTTTCCATATGAAGTATCTTTGAAATCGTATCAGGTAAAAATGATTTTCTATCCTCACATCTAAATGATAAGAAAGATTGAAAATTATATATTTAACGTACAAAGGCAAAAGAAGAAGACTTAAACATGAATGATTTGAGAGCAGACACCATTTTCCAAATGAATAATAGTATTATAAATCTTTTTATTCGTTGATATTGATTGAGCAGAAAATGTTGTTGTTGATGGTGCATTCATTAATGAATGATCCTCATGTTTTTGTTTAACTAATTCTTGTAAACCAAAAATGTAAGATATCAGGCACTTTTCACATGTAAAGATGTTAGCTAGGCTACTCATGTGATTTGAATCGGTCAAAAATCGTCGTTAGACCACTCGGTGTAATGTGCGCTATACCGGCAGTAGTTTAGTAATTGCACGGTTGGCTATCCTCTGACCACTATTCTATCGCAGTATATTGATAATTGTTCTCTGATCTGTAAGCTACTATCAGTATACTGGCGGTATTGTGAATAAACGTTGGACATGAGTATTATAGGTTTGTTTTAATTACTATGCTTATAAAACTAGAAGAATATTTACGTTTAAAAAATAAATCCTATCATAAAAAAGTATTAGGTCATCAATATAGAAATCATATTTAATTGGTTGAAGATTCGTTAAAAATTCAAATTGTTTCTAAATCATATAAATAAGATAATTTTTTGTTTGTTGAAGCAAGCTTTATTAAGACTTTTGTTTATATGATACTAGGGAGCCATATTAGTGTTCATCGACATATTTGAATTAAAGAGTTTCACTGTTGATAAGTAAGAAAAGTAATAAAAAGCTTACGACACTCATTATTCCGAGGCAGTCATCCATGCAAGTACTAACCGAGCTCAACATTGCTTAACTTCAGTGATCGGACGAGAACTGGTGTATTCAACGTGGTATGGCCGTGAGCATTTTTTATATATTCGTTTTTTCCAAATGATACATTTGAAATACTTAGGGCATATCAAAAATAGTAGTGAAAATATTTTAATTTCTTATAAAAATCTTAAAAAATCTTTCTCTCTCTATAGTCTGATAATAAAAACAATGCTCTACGTTTCTGTGATATTTAATCTTGCTTCAACTAATATCATAATAATACAATTTCCATAAGAACTGTTTATTATAATATGTGACACTAATATCACATTATAGTTTGTCTTTGATGTGTATTTTCTTTGTTTTTCTTTTCTGTTCTTTCTCCTTGTCTATTCTAAAACCTAATCCTGTATACGTATTAGGATACACATAGAAAGCGGTATTGGTAGAACAAGAAAGAAATACAGCAAGAAGTTCATCAAGTTTATAGTTAAGCAATTATTCAGATCTAGCATCATGTGATTTTTTTAGTTACTTAACTTAATTAAACAAAATCTAAGTGATCAAAACAGTTTCAAATCGTTGCATCGTGCTATAAACAAGTTCATGAATTCCAAAGAGTCTAAATAGTCAGGGTGATTATTTTGAATACTTCATGAAACATAGACTTGATGAACTCAGTACCGTATTTCTTTTTTATTCTACCCCACCATTTTTGGCATACCCTAATATACATAGAGGGCTAGGATTTAGATAAGATGAGAAAAAGAAAGAAAGAAAAAGAGAGAAAAAGAAAAAAGAGAATACACATCGACGACAAAATATGATATAATATTACCGGCATATATCATAACAAATAGCTCTTATCGAAACTTTATTATTATGACGTTAATTGAAGAATGATCAACTATCACAAAAAAGTAAAGCATTGTATTTTACTATCAGACCATACAGAGAAAAAATTTCTGTAAGTCTTTAATAAGGAATTAAAATATCTCCAATACTACTTTTGGTATGCTCTAAATATTATTAAAAATTAACAATTCATCTTTCATATTGCTGCACTTTTGTTAACATCGCTTATTTCTCTTTTGAATCGTAGCTCTCTATTTGTTTCTATTAGTTTATTGAGCACTGTTTATTAGCTAAAAAAAATAAATGTTTTTCTTTAAATAAAAATAAAAGAAAAATGAAAATATCCGGCAAAGAATAGAGAAAAAAGCAAAAAAAAATATTTGTTTATAAAACATACACAGTTTTAATAGACAGAAAAATATTTTACGGAGATAAGCCAATATTGTTTATTGTGCGTTAAAAAAAAGTGTTTTTCCACTTCGTGTGACCATACCATCACCAGGGATTGGTGGTGTATGAAATTCATCATCATTACCTTCAACTTCATCGTCAGCTCCTAAATAATTTTTAATAATTATTTAATAATTTCAATTAATTAATCTTACCTTCACTATTTTCATTGGTAATTGCTTCAAGAAGTTTACGTTGATAGACTGCACGGGTATGATCTTTATAGATATTTCAAGTTTTTTTCAAACAATAAAGAAGAAAATTCACTTACTTATAACAGGGCCTGCTGTAATATTATATTCATTTAAACAACAACGAAGTTCATGATCATTCATTTTAGGAACATTAATTCCTTTTTCAAGTGCCTAAAATGAAGATATTGTCTTTAAATATATTTTCTCTTTCTCATATCTCATACTTTCGAATGAAGACGTAATAAATTAGTAAGAGTTTCTTTTGAAGTATAAGGATTAAGATCATAACCAAATTTTTTCAACATTAATTGTAATTCGGATTTCGTTGACATTTTTGTTTTCTAATAAAAAATATAATCTAGAACAAAAAAAAACAGAAAAACAAAAAAATAAAGGCTTGTATTTAATTGTTCAGTATTTTATTATGAATGTTCAGTAAATTTCTTATCACATGTTCAGTAGTTCTTGTTCAGTAAAAAATTATTTTTTGCTCAGTAAATAATTCAAGAAGTTCAGTAAACAATTCAAAAAGTCCAGTATTTAATTTAAAAAGATTCAGTATTTAATTTTTTTTTGCTCAGTATTTAATGTATTTTTGTTCAGTTCTTTAATAATCTATTTCAGTAAAAAAAGTGTAATTACAATTAACAGAAATTTATTGAATCAATAACGCCTTTTTAGATTTTGTTGGTCTACCACGACATCTTTTTTCACCAATTTTAACGTTTTTAGCAGCAGGTGGTAGTTTACAGTAATTTAATAGAATTGCCATACCAAACAACATGTTCACACATAAACTTTTTGAAAAATGCTGGACAATTGCACACACTATCTAACCATTTTAATTTATCTACTAGCATAAAGCAATTGAAAGAAAGAACAGAAAAGAAAAAAAATATTTTGACTGGTGATCTCATCATCAGTCAATGAGAACGATAATTCTTCCATTTATACCAAAATATTTTCATCGAAAAAATAAAAGTAATTACTGATAAAAATACTATTCTTTACTGAGTAAATGAATTTTTAGATCAGCAAACTGAATTAATTACTGAAATTTTAATTTTAATACTGATCAATTTATTAATTTACTGAGCAAACAATTAGTTAACTGAACAAACGTAATATTTACTGAACATTAAATTTTATACTGATAGTTTGATTTCTTTACTGAAAATTTGTATATAATACTGAACAAATTTTACTGAACATTTACAAAAAAATACTGAACATTTAATTTGTCGCCAAAAATAAATAATATCATGATTCCATTGTTTCATTAGGTAGATTTGTTTGATTTGAACCACCAACAGGTGGTAATTGTGTTCGTATTAAATCAATTAATTCATTACTTTGTATTTCAGTTAAACGTGTTTCTGAATCTTCAATAATTAATTGTAATTCAACAGGTGTTGTTGGACGTAAATTAAGTATTTGAAGTATTTCATTTTTTTTTAAATCAAATTTTTTAATTTCATTATAAAATTGAGTTATAATATTAGGATTTTGTTCAACACATGGAGTTTGTTCAAGATATTTTAATGTTTCATATGTAACAGTATTTAAACCATAATTACAATGTTCAAGTGTACGATTTTGCCCTTTTTTACCACGTTTACCATTTTCACGCTCATTATTTGTTTCATGAATTTGTTTAACAACAAGATATGTTTCATAATTTGATAATGAACGAATTGAATCACGTTGAAAATCCATTGAATTAAAATCTATAATAAACATCATCATGTTGTTTCTCTATTTTTAGGAGAAAGGAATTCGTTCAGGATGATCTAATATACAACCAAAAGAAAAAAATTGGGATTACAAAAAAAAATGAAGAGTAGAAGGATTAAAATGTCTAATATTTGTGTTCGGTCCAACGATTTGCTGTGCGCTCTTTAAAACCACGATCAACATAATCAGTTGAATCAAGTGTTTTCCATGGACTGACATTCTATTTAACACGATTGAATATTAATAATCAAAAAAACTCTATATAAGACTTACTGCAAGATGTTTTCCTTTATAACCATAAACTTGCCATCCACCCCATTTTTCCCAATCCTATAATAACAATAGATTTGTTAATATAATCGTTAAAGTCTATAGACATTAAAGAAAATTAAAATAAAAAAAAAACGAAGTTGAATTTGACTTTAATTGTGTTCCGTATTCGGATGCCTCTATAACATGTTGTGAAAATCAATTCGTACAGTAAATATCAGAAAACAAAGTCTACTATTCAGAAAGAGTTCATATGTTAAAACTAAATTTTTAACAAAAAAAATTGTTGATTTCGTGTAGACACCTATACTAAACCGTGAAATACGATAGATGCAGTTTCATTCTTTTCGTATCGAAATTCCTTTGATCTCAAGTGAATATTAGTTACAAGGATGACCTAAGTACTTTATTGTAGTGTAGTGTATGATTCATGACAAATTGCTTTGATGAAGAATATATGTCTTTCAATTTAGTTGAGCAATACTACAAATGAATTGGTTGACGGAATGTTACATGACTGAGTTATCTCCCTTTTTTCTGTGTCTGTTAACTGTTTTACTGGTTCGGATAATTAAACTCTCTTCGTCATCGAATCGAAGCTCTTCCGAGAATGCGATATAGGTGATTATACAAATACGGTTAAAGTAAAACATTCAGAGATAACTCAACTATGAAATATTCTATCAATCAACTCATTTGTAATGTTGATCGACTGTATTGAAGGATACACATTCATCATTGAAGCAGGTTGTAATCAATCATACACTACACTAAGAAACAGTATTCAAGCCGTTCTTGTCACCAACATTTACTTGAGGGTAAAGGGATTTGATACGAAAAGGATAAGTGGAGAAAGACTTTTGTCCATATGTGTATTTTTCAGTTTGCTATTTATTAGAACTTGAGAGAGAATGTGACAATATTCTTCATTGGATTACAAAGATCAGCCAATAGGCTATGATTTTGTGTCTAGTTCTATGAGAAGACAAAATGTTTAACAATTCTCACCTTCTAACAGAGTTTCTGATTGTTTTTGAAGGCAGGGAAAGCTGAAAGTTCAACATATTTTGGAAGGGAAAGCCTCTGCCCTCTGTTTCTATATTTCTGTTACACTGTATTTCTAAAACCAAACTGAAATATAAGCTTGATACAACATACTTGTTTATGGTAAAAAACCGCGTATACCAAACTCCAAATACCTAATTGGAGAATGAGTAATTTTGGAACTGTTTGACGAAGCATAGATGCTGCAGTATTACCCTATATGATATAAAAATAAAAGATTTAGAAAATCATCAATTCAAAAATCTAATCTAATTTAATTTTCATTCAAATCATTCGATGAAACTATCCAAAAAACCAAAGAAAAACAAAGATTTCTCCTGATATTTCAAACAAAACAAGGTTATAAAAAATTCAAATCTCTCATTTGTTTGACTAATGCTCTAAAATACAAATCAAGGTGATTATGTTTTAATATGTCTCAATTTTTATTCAAATTTAAGTTAAATTTTATATTAAAAAAATTTTCTTAAATACATACAACAACAGGACGTAATCGATTAAATACTCCATCCCAAAAAACCATCCATCGATAACGAACAGGATTTTTATGAAGTTTATGTAAATTCGGTACATATTTTGGTTCATCAGCTGCTAAAACTTGATCTTGAAGCCACTGTTTACGCCATAAACGTTCTTCATTTGTCATACGAAATGGTAAGCGTGATCGTTCATATTTAAATGGTTCAATATTAAATTCACGTTCCCAAACAGGAAATTTATCTCGAATATCATGAGGATATAAATAACGTTGTTCTTCCCATGAAGAATGACCTGCCATAATCAATTAACTACTTGAACTACGTCACAATAGATAAATAATCTAGGAAATGACAGGGAAAAACATCAAAGAAAATCTTTCTAATTGTCTAAATTTAACTCTATATGAATAATATTTCCAAACCCAAGAAAAAAAACAACAAGATTGTTTATTTGTTAGAAATACGTAAGCGCTACAATCAATGTAAACATTTCATTGATTATAACAAATAACAATTCAATTAGTATGAAAATATCATTCTTATTTTAGATTAAATTCTTTCCCTATATTAAATACATTAGATTTCAATTAAATAATTAAAATTCGTAATTAGATGATTTTTTCGTGGGCATAGACTTGCATCCTATTGGGTAATCTTATTTTTTTTCTCTTCGTTTACTTCTCTCTCTTCTTTACTTTTACTAACCCATATGTTTGGAACATGGCATGCTCACAACGTAATTTCTCGCCATCACTAGAACATACATAACGGACGGACGGCAGAGTACAAAAAGTAATTCGTCCGATCGTCCTCATTCCACTACAGTCATTTAAACAAGAAGGGAATGTAGAGAAGAATGTAGTCAATATTATTCGAGTAGGCAAATTTTAGAGAAATATATCGATATAAAAATCTGTCGAATAGACAACATATTTTATTTGTTCAATTTCACATTAGTTTATAATTAATTTGAATTAAAACAAAAACAATCTTTAGTTTTTTTTCTTTTTTATTACATTTAGATCTATTTTATTAACGTATAGGACACGTATTCGGTGAGAATAACGCATCTATAATTTGGCAAAGTCCGATGTTGATCGTCATTTGCTGATGTCTACCACGCCACAAGGCTCTACATCCAATCAAGACGAAATCACTTTAGTTACAACAACTACAGCTACAACTCTTACAGTGTCTGAACAAGAACATACTGTTATTAACGAAGATAGTGATAATCGACGTCACGAGGCATTTGATTTGCCTAAATCAAAAAAATTTAAATCATCAACAACACTTATTAGTAACGGTAGTGATCTAACAATCATGTCATCAAATAGTAATTCAACAAATGTTGTTGAAGCTATGGAACATACTAATGGAGAAATGAATTATAATGGGGTATGTTTTGGGTTTTTTTTTTAATATTTGCTTTCTATTTATTTACATTTTGCATAAGGAATTCCCCTAAGAATATTTTATTTCTTGAATTTCTTGTTATTTTGCGCAAAAAAATTATAACTATAAATAATGGTTTATTTTCGAACTAATTTCTGTTTTAAATCTACATTTAATAATACTCATTTATTCATTTGTGTAAGTGTTTTAGATTTTATTTTATTACTAATTATTCCTTTCACATCGACTGACATCTTTTTTTAAATAAAAAGAAAATGCTTTACTGTGTTGTCGCATTCTTCCCTCCATTTTTCTTCTTTCCATTCTTTATATATTTCGTCGGTAACAGGTGATAGGAGGAAGAGAAAGAAAAGAGAACGACAAAAAAAAAAAAAACGATAGCGTCACCCCTATTTTTTTTTGCACTGTACTAAAATTGCTGCCCTATCAACGATAGAAAGAAAAAAAAAGAGAAAAACAACAATACGATTGCATTTGACGCTCTGTCTTTTTCTTTATCTGACTCACTCGAGACGTTGAAGAATATTTGCTTAAATGCTCCCATACTCCTTTTCTCCATCTTCATTATTGGTATTTTTTTGTTTGGAGGGAAGTAGAAAACTGACGAGCAGATTATAATTGTAATAGGTGAACGTCTATATTGGCCTTTTCTACTAAATTTCTTTCATCCTTCTTGTTTTTTTTTTATTAATTGGAATCACAAGCGTGAATAAAGACGCAAAATATGAGGTGTATGACACTCGTAACTTCATTTGACGTTATTAAAATTTGTATTGCAAAAAAGAGAACGTGGACACATATAGATTAATATTTCTACATTTTTATTTGATTGAATATTTTAGAATAGTGAGAATAATAATTCACAAGCAACACTACAAACTACAACACCTTATCAAATGGCTGGCGTTCTGCAACACCAAGCGTCAACATCATCGACAAAAACTCCTGAAATTGATGAAGGTCTTTATTCTCGACAACTGTAAGTTGGTTTTTTTCTCCATCTCGACAAAAAAAAAACAATTGCGCATTAAATATTTTTTAGTTATGTCATGGGCAAAGAAGCTATGCATCAATTAGCTAGTGCTCATGTTCTTATATCAGGCATGCGTGGTCTTGGTGTTGAAATAGCTAAAAATATCATATTAGGTGGTGCTAAATCAGTTATTGTTCATGATTGTGGTAGTGTTACCTACAAAGACCTATCATCACAAGTAAAATAAATCAATTTTTGATAATTTTATTGTAATTTCTTTTTTTTTTCTATGATTTATTTAAAGTATTATTTTAATGAATCTAATATTGGTCAAAATCGTGCTGAAGTTGCCAATAAACATTTAGCTGAGTTAAATAGTTATGTTAATGTAACATGTTCTTCTGCCACTATTGATGATGTTTTTCTTCAAAAGAATAAAGTCAATGTAAATAATTTTCAAAATTTTGAAAATAAGATTTTATACAATAAATTTCTAGGTCTTTGTTCTTACTGATGCTAATTTGGATGATCAATTAAAAATTGGTGATTATTGTCATCAACATGGAATTAAATTTATTAATGCTAATACAAAAGGTTTATTTGGGTAAGACAAATAAATCATTATTTTTTTTT